ACTAAGGTGTACACGCCCATTCATTCCGCCTCTCAATCCAGTGGTTTACATATTTGTAATCCATTTTAATACACTATCATTGCAGAATTCAACTGAAACTGTTATCAATCAAGAACTTCTGAATAATACATATCAAGGTTGAACGAAAAATGGATTGTTCGAATAGCAGAATGATGATGGACATAATAAAATGAAGAAAATGAATCTAGTGTGTTTTTCATCAACGATAGAATATTCGAAACATTTACCCACCTTGTATAATGATTCTCGGGAGTAATTTAATAGTTTCATGAATGATGGTCAAACATATAAACCCCCGGTATAGCGAAATCTGAGAGTTGAAACATTTTCTAAAAGAAAAGCTCCCATTCCAATGTGCTAGAAAGTATATAATAATTTATTTGGATGTTTGACGTAGGTTATTCTGTAAGTTACTAATTCGAAAGCTTGCCGCGCCAAGTTATTTGTTGAAATAGGTACAGGAGCGGCAACTTTTTGAATATGTTACTCACAGAATGAGCTACGTCACACATCCAAAGAAATTATTTTTCACTTCTTGGCGCATTTCAATAAGAGCTTGTATGTAAGGAGTATTTTTCTCCGACCCCAAAAACTTCCACATACCAATATTGAATCGAATCGGATCATAATCATAAATCTCCTCTGCCATCTTGGAGCCGCCATTTTGAAAATATGAACTTTGACAACAAATTTATAATTTCCGACCCCGAAAATCCCGACATACTTATTTTGAATTGAATCAGACAATAACCACATATCTCGTCGCCATTTTGTATTCATAATAAATTAATTATATTCGAACTTTGGAGACCCTTAGATACTTATTTTAAATCAAATCGGAATATAATCACAAACCACGTCCGCCATCTTGGAGCGGCAATCTTGGATTTATGAATTCTGACAACAAATTCATGATTTACGATCCCAAATACTGATTTTGAATCGAATCGGATTATAATCTTAAATCACGTTCGCCATCGTAGAGACGCCATTTTGAATTCATACATTTTGACAACAGATTCATAATCTTCGACCTCGTGAATCCCACACACTAATTTCGAATCCAATTAAACAATAATTACAAATCTCGTCGCCATATTGGAGCTGCCATTTTGAATTCATGAATTTTGACAATAAATTCATATTCTCGACACCTTACATCCCCAAATCAATTTTGAATCGAATTGATTCATGATAACAAATCTCTCTGCCACAAATATTATAGCCGAATTATTTTTATTACTGTTCATTCCACTACGAATCCAGAAAAAGCAGCAACATTCCAGCAGGCAAATTTTCACATAATACTTGATAAGCAATCTCTCAGTTTATATGGAGAATATTCCATTAACGATACAATATTCGAAAAATCGAAATCATTATTCTGAACAGAATTCGAATATCCAGGCATGGTGATTGGGATTTGATCATATTGATTGTTGAACGTTCACGAGAAATAATTTGATGAAAGGGAGAATAAAAAATCAATTCAGGGATTTACAGCCTCACTTGTGGGTCGTACCTATGCATCATTTTCCTATGAATGCGAACATTTTCAAAAATCTCTGAATACATCGTTATGAACAATATAACCATGTTCCTAGCCACTGAGTGCTAAAAAAATATCCATAATAAGCCAGGGCAAAAACTAGAAGATAAAAGGTACTCACCTGTTCATGAAGAACCTATAATTCCAATATCAATGAATTGATTCCAACTTACCTCCTTTCGCATCATATAACGCCTTTGCCATATCTACGATTTTCCTACTCTCCTCCATTTTCCGAAACACTCAAAACTGAACAAGTCAATGAATTAAACAAATCAGTTCGTCAGCGGAGGTCATAAAGTACTGAGACTGAGAGTTTCACCAGAAGCGAAATCAGCGCCCGCGGGAGATATCGGAACTAAAACCATATATTTGGTGATATTCGTAGGTCGGAGTGACCTCCACCGTTAAATTTGAAGATAGACTGGGACAACCATTCTAATTGCTTCTGCTAAAAAAACTACACGATACGTTGTGACCTCCGCTTTCGGAGGTGATAACGTCATATATGAGGTCTTAACGTACACCCAACATACATTTTAGGAGGTCACTTCGTATAGGATATGTATATATATATATATATATATATATATATAATTTATCGCTTGGAGCGCACGAAAGGGAATCCCTATAATGTTCAAAGAACATCGTGCGTTCCTAGGGAGGATAGGGATAAGAGGTAGGTATTTGAATTTTTTCGAACTTCTGGAGGTTATATGTTGTTGGGATATTAGAATAAGTCATTGAACATTTGACTTGACTTTAACACGACATGTTGCAGCGACAATGGCTGCTTAAGAAAATGTTATCTGTATTTTACCCCTTTTTGGGATATATATTTTAATCTGTTTGTACCGTATTTAACCATAATGTCGATATTTTTAAATTGGACCAGAGATATTTTTATGCACAATTTTTCTTGTTAACCTGACGAGTATGCACTGATGATGACTTAACAGTCGAAAGTGCTCTGCTACGAGTAATAAATTTGAATTATTTTGCACGAAATACAACACTTCCCTTAATTGGTATATATACACGTGCACGCAGCTAAGTAACTCTCATTTATAGAAGCTGCCTTCCTAAATTCAAAAACATACCCGACAGATGCGTTGTTGTCAAATAATGCCACATATCCTCGGATTCAATGAAACGGGAATCATCAACAATCATTTCACATTCAAATATGTCGTTGGGCCAACATTTCGTTTCAACCAATTTTCGATTCGCCCAATTTTTGATTCACCCAATTTTCGATACACCCAATTTTCGATTCGACCAATTTTCGATTCACCCAATTTTCGTTTGTTGAAAAATGAATATACATTCTAGGATGAGGGTTCATTTTAACGAGTCAAGTTAGATCAATTAAACAAAGGGGTCTCATTTGTTCTTTCAAGTAATTTTCCGAAAAACATATATTTTAGGAAGGTTCATTTAGGCAGAGCGAGGTTAGATTATTTACTTAGGCCGAGTAAGGTTAGATTGTTATGAAAAAGAAGTCTCTTATGTTCTCGCAAGTAAATAGGTGGTATGCAGAAAATATACTTTCTAGAAAGAACGGTTATTCAGGCAGAGATAGGTAGGTTAGGTAGTTTGGAAAAGGTAGTCTGCTTCCTTATGCAGAAAAGAATATTATCCTTCCTTATATTACATCAAAATTCGGGTCGATACAAATTTGGGTCAATTGAAATTTGGGTGAATCCAATGGGCTTGTATCACAAAAAATTTTAATTTCATAATTCGATAGAACTCACCCAAACTAGCTCACCACCGCAAACCGTTTCTTGCTGTGAGCTCCCTACGTTTTATAAAAAATTATTGAAATCCCCGATTTTTCGGACCTCTGAAAACGAGGCGATGATGTGACGTCAGAACCCTGATACTGAAACAAGACTATTCCAGACAGAGATGAATGATACATGATTTCTGACAGAGTGAATTAGCACGAGATCACAGTTGAAAGAATTAATATCAGTTGCCTCAGTCTCCGTCGGGAGTTTGGTATTTTCTTTCAACTATGGCGAGATGAGGTTTCCACGTCATAAGAGGGTCCGTTTTCAGAAGGTACTATAATTTATGTTCAAAAATAAAACATTCCAGTTAATTTTTCGATCGAATTATGTTGTCAATCTTTATTTATGAATAAAAGGATCATTATAAACATGGTTTGAGTTAAAAGTTCTACTAAGGTGCACACGCCCATTTCGGGCGAATCGAGAATTGGGCGAATCGAAAATTGGGTGAATCGAAAATTGGGTGTATCGAAAATTGGGTGAATCGAAAATTGGGTGAATCAAAAATTGGGTGAAACGAAAATTGGGTACATCGAAAATTAGGCGCATCGAAAATTGGGTGAATCGAAAGTTGGGCAAATCGAAAGAGAAGAAAGATTTGGCAACATCGCATCGTTCGGGTATAATCGGAGATAGTGGGCGTATCGAAAACTGGGTGAATCGAAAATTGGGCCATACGCAACCTACCCAGTGTATTTTCTGTTTCCTCGGATTAGTTATTCAGGCTAGTTCATCTGTAAAACATGTCTCGTACAGGGTTATTCACCGAAAAGACTGAAAACAAACGGAATACAATACAATCCCTAGATGCGTCACAAACGACAAATTTATTTTGTATATGAAACACCCGATTTTTCTTCATATTATCGATATATCTGAACTTTTTCCATCACAAAAAGATAGCAGAGTGCACTACTGAATAATGAATGTAGGTAGTAGTAATATCAACTGAAACTCCAGCCAATTTCAAGTATAATTTCATTTAGGAGTGAGTACCAGTCAGAATGAAATATGAAAGTAGTGTTATTGGACCGTGTACTAGTCATACAATAGTCACTCTCTTCAAAAAATTGAAAGTGTCACTTCTTATCAGGTTATTTCCCTTTCGAAATTAAAATGCATATTGTATGTAATTCGTTTTCCAGTATTGAAATGATGAAATTTTAATAATAATATTATGCAGTCATTCTATACGAAAATGATTATTGAATGTTGAACATAGGAGAGATTTGAGCAAATATTCGATACTGTCATTTATGAAGAAGCAAAATGAAGGATATATCTTCCTGGAAAAAATCGAAAAGTATAGGCAGGTGGGTACTCTTAAAAGATCAATTTTAGATTTGAACAAGTGAAAGAAGGAATCTTCAAAGTCATCTCCATGGAATTGTGTTGTTAAACAACCAGGAACATGTTTCCAACTTGGAAAAGTCTTCGATATGTGGACATGATGAAGAATCCATGTGGGCATCGCAGCGTGTCCATTTATTGCAATCTTGGTAATGAGAATGTGGTTATGGCAAGTATTAGACATCGCAGACCCCCATCGCGACAAATTGACAAGTTATCACGCTCAAAACGCCCTAGCGGGAGTTCACCATACATCTCTAGATAGATAAAACTCAGTTTCTTACACTGTTGGTATTCCTTGTATCTGAATAGGTGTGGGCTTCTTGATATGTTTTTCCTTCAAGCCAGCTATGATACCCTCGTGAAATTTCATTTCCTTGAATGTTTTGAGTGGTGGTGGAATTTCATCTCCTTCAACTAAAATTCGTAAATCGTATCTGACTTTGTCATGGCTACTTCCTGGCATTTGAAGAATGTATCGTGGAGGTCGCCAACTGAAAGTATGAATATACTTCAATCATATGTTTTTTTTTCAGCAATCATAAGTATTTCATGATTAGATGTTCAAAGTCATAAGGGCGTGAAACATTGTTGTGATATGAATATCATCATTATTATCATCAGTACACGGTAATTTTGATAATCGAAAGATTCTTCTTAACAAGTGGTTCTCAACATTTTACTCAACATGAATACTCAACCAAATTTACGCTGGTGGTATAAAATGTTGTAATTAAACGCATTAATGTCGATTAATTTGGGCAGTATTGCGACCGAAAACTTGACGTAATTAATGAACTGTTTTCGCAATACTTCCATCATTTTTGTAATGTGTTTTATTCAACAATAACTGAACGTTGCTCATTCGAATACTTCTTCATATTCTTTAATCCCGTGGTCTGAACATGACAACTGTACAAAAATCACTGCAGTCGTATTACCAAAATGCCAACAAATTTGAATGCGGCGCTGTTGTTGACACAACCTTTATATAATATGGGAGTAGACACATTTTTTTTTAATAAAAAAATATACGCTCTTACCAATGTTACCATACCACAACTTCTGACTATTATTGAAAGTCTGACAACATTACTAATTGTTATTGTTACTTCCGGTGCTGCTGACCTCACCGTTATCAAACGCTTGGATTCGGCTGTTAACCTCTGATCAAGGATTTACACTTACTTACAAGAGTTTCAAAAAAGGTTCAAAATTCAATATTTTCCAAGATTTTTTTTAATTACTTTATTTCGCTTTGTGTCAACCCTGAAATTTTGAAGGGTCACTGGGATGATCAGCATGAATGAACTTATATAACATTTTATACAGGTGTTAGAAACAGGATATTACACCGCACCACCCTATACATCGATACCATTCGATACATTCTGATTCTATTAGTAAGACATGACCCAGGTGGTTACGTTACATGATGAATAAGAAGACAGTTGGAGAAAATAGATTATTAGCCGTTCATCTTCTGTAGAGCATACATCGTGAATATAAATTGTTAAACTTTGAATAGTGTTTCAATAACCATAGTCAAATATCTCAGAAGTATGGATGAAGAACTGCTTAAGGAGTGGGAAAAATCATAGTGAAATTGTGTATTTGCCAAAATGCCGAGAAATAAACGATTACGAAGCCCTAGTTCATCGAGTTCTTGTGATTCAACGAGAGTTTCTAGTGCAAGTTCCACAACGTCTAATTCAAGCCAGACTACATGAAGACGTCGGAAACGCCAAGAAGAGAAAATTTTAAGAAAGAAGAGAAGTTCGAAAAGGCCGAGACATTCACGGGGATCCAAAAGAGTAAGGTTGTCTGACAAACAGCTCATTGAAATAGAAGTGAGTACTGCATTGAATTCTTTTCGTGAAAGAAATAATAGCAATATTCTCGCAAAAGTAATACCTGATTTCGACCCAAAAAAAGATAACGTTCATGAATGGTTGAATATTATCGATAAACATGCCAAATGCTATGATTGGGATGAATATACAGTAAAATTCCAAGCACTCAACAAACTCGGAGATACCGCTGAGAAATGGTACCACACATAGAATAGAATAGAATAGAATTTATTCATATCGCCACAGCTACCACCATAGGTGGATATATACGTCAAAGTATAGGTACAAGTCTAAAATACAATACATCTCAGTACACAAAATTAAAATTTACAAAACAATAGCACTAGTTAATAACATTTGTTAACAAGGACAATTAATAAAAATCATCACAGTTCATATAGTAAGTTCGATGCATAGTACTCATCGATGCTATAATATGCCCCTTTACCAAGCAAACGTTTCAGGACATTTTTAAATTTACCTGTTGGCATCTCTCTGATTACTTGAGGCAGGTGGTTATACAACTTGATCCCAGTATAGTTCGCAGATTTTTCAAACTTGGACAATCTATGTTTTGATATCATGAGGTTATTGGCATTTCTCGTGAAATGATCATGGCAGTCAGAATTCTTAGATAGCCTATTCAGGTTGTGCTTGACGTGCAATAGAGTCTTTAAGATGTATATAGATGGTAATGGTAGGATGCAGTTGTCCACAAACACCTGCCTGCAAGTACTACCGAATGGAATATTGAATATTAGTCTCATTATACGCTTTTGTTTACTAAATATTTTTTTGGCGTTTACAGAGTTTCCCCATAAACAAACATGGTAGGTAAGGTGACTGTAAACTAACGAGTAGTATATCTCAATAATCGTGCCCAAATTTAACGTTTTTTTAAGTTGCACTATAGCATAATATGCAGAGTTGAGTTTCTTACTCAAGTGTTCTATGTGGGGGTCCCAACATATAAATTGGTCCACAATAACACCCAGAAACCTCACCTCTGACACACATGCTATATCAGGTATGCACACCGCGGGCTCACCTTTTTTGCATCTGAAATGCATGTAAACTGTTTTACCAAGGTTCAGTTTTATATGATTTCCATTACACCACTTATGAAAAGTATCGACTACATATGATATTCTTTCATGAAGCCCCCCAGAAGTATGTGACGTGACCACTACAGAGGAGTCATCCGCATACATTATTATCTGATCATGGATATGTTCTGGCAAATCATTGACGAATAAGAGAAATAAAAGCGGCCCCAACACAGATCCCTGCGGAACACCCATATCTATATTATACATATCAGACCTTTCGTTTGTAATTTGCACATAGTAACTTCTTTCAGATAAATATGAGTCCAATAAGTCCAACATAGATCCTCTTATACCATAAACATAAAGTTTATCCTTCACCAATTCTCTTTTGATGCTATCGAAAGCTCTGGTTAGATCAAAGAAAATACCTGCCACATATAACCCTTTGTCCAAACAACTATAGACAGTGTCCATGAATTCAAGGGTAGCTCCCTCAGTTGATCTTCCAGGTCGAAATCCATATTGATTATTGGACAAAATTTTATTTTTTTCTAGAAATGTGATTATCCTGATATGATATGCCCGCTCAAAGATTTTTGAAATTACATTCAGCAGAGAGATTAATCTATAGTTGTCGATACATGTAGGATCCGCTTTTTTGTATACTGGGATTAGTTTACTCAATTTCAAGTCGTGTGGAAATACTCCGGTTTGAAAGGATAAGTTGATCAAGAATGCAAGAGGTTCTGATATCACATCGATTATATGTTTGATCAATATGATATTAATTCCATCATCACCTACAGAGCGTTTATTTCTAATATCACTGACAATATCTACAATTTCCGCATTGGTGACAGGAAAGTAAGCAAAACTGTTTGTTGTCCAATTAGTTGTGAAGGTGAAATTGTTAGTATTTTCATTGAAGAAATGCTCTAGCTCCCTAGTTTTCTCATTAAAGTTTACAGCAAAATGTTGGGCAAGTGACATACTGTCAGTTATTATTTCATCATTTATATTTAGTTCAATCTTATTCATTTTTTGCTTTCTACCAACAGTATTGTTGACTATGTTCCAAATTGTTTTCTGTTTGTTACCACTGTTTGTAATTAGTAGGTCATTGTGCTCTTTTTTCTTTTTGGTTATTAGACAGTTGTAGTCTTTTTTAAAGTTTTTATAGTATTCCCAGATGCCTTCATTATTCAGACTGCGAGCTCTACTATATAAATTTTTTAGTTGCTTACCTTTCTCATGAATCTCTTGGTCATACCATTTATTATTATTTGCATATTTCTTAACTTTATTACTGATCATCTGGCAGTTCGAGTCAACGGCAAAGTTTAAGGTTTCCATGAAACTACGGAAAGCTTCATTCATTCCTTTATGTGAATGTAAATATACTTCATCAAAACCTAACCTCAACAGGTCTTGCCTTAACATATCAAGATTTTCCAAACTGAAATTTTTGGAGTAGCTAATGTTCTTATTTGGGGTGTCTGAAGTAGAATCATTGATAATTATGTTGAAGACCAGGGCCAGATGGTCACCAATATTGGGCTGATCAATATGACAAGTGATAGTGTTAGACACATCATTAGTTGCTATATAGTCAATTTTGGTCCCAGTAACTTTATTTTTGTATTCAAATATACGGGTAGGTTTGTTGGGGAGACTTAATCTGAAGCCAAATGACTGTAGTAGATCATCTAATATAGACTTTTCATTACTCGGAATTAAATAATTGACATTGAAGTCCCCACATAGGTATACCCAGTCATGATGCTTGATATGCCTGGCCAGTAAAGAATAGCACCGATCAATAAATACATCAAACTCACCACATGGAGATCTATACACATTCACAACTAATATTTTGCCTCTAGTGAATACAACAGATATTGCACAACATTCAAAGGAGTCTTCAGTGTACAAGTTACTGCAGTCAATCACATTCGTTCTAAAAGTAAATGAATTACTAGCAAGTATTAAAGTACCACCATGTATTTTGTTATTTCTGGTATAGCTGGTGAGAAGACTATAACCTGGTACATGCATGTATTTCACATTTTCTTCAGTACACCAGTGTTCCTGGCTGGACACATACAATGTCAGGTTTTTTCTGTTGACAGAAGATTTCCAAGTTCAATAATTTATTTGTTAAGCACTGAACATTAACGCTGATAAATACTAATGATTGACTATCCACTCTGTTTACCAAGTTTTGGCAGTCCATCGCTTTAACTGGAATTAAATTTGATTCATGGTTTGAGGATTTGTCGTCTCGGACAACATCCTCTTTTTTGCAAAAAAAGAAACTATTGCACCGTTTGGCCATGTTTCGCGAGTCCATGCTGTTTTGAGCCATTGGCGATCTATGGTAACCTTCATAGAGGCGTAAATATCAGGTCTTCTGGAAGGGTGCTCCTCACATTTCACTCCCAAAAGTTTATCTGCAAGAAACCTCTGGAGATCTTGTGGTTGAGTTCCAGGCTTTAATCTCGTAACATGTAGTTGTACTAATCTGGGAATTGTTTCAACTTCACAAGTAGAGTCAGTGTTACCCACCAAGAATCTTCTCTTTCTCTTCGTCAC